CCCTTGTTCTGCTGTTTTAGAGGCAGCCAATGAAAAGGGAATTTATCAGTCACCTTTACTCTGCTGTAGTACTTGACCTTCCTGTGGTATTTTGTGTCCTACATTTAGGAAATGCTGCGGTAAAGTTAACCGAATGCGAGGCCAACACAGATGGCCTATTAAAGAGATGCGTACTCTCATGGTGAGCAGAGGACTGGGAACCAGGAGCTTTTGTTTATAGCTGACTTGGGTTGGATTTGAACTGGGGAATTAGATTATATTGAGCAAAAATATTACTAAGGCTTTTGACTCTTTGGCTGCAAAGGACAGTTTCAGGCTGCAGCCCCAGGGGGTGTGCTCAGCTGTGCAGGGCTGCATTTCTGTTCACTGCCTGGAAAGGTTCAGAGCTGGGCTTGGCTCAGCTTTTCAAAATTCTGCTTGTCCAGCACAAATAACTTCTGTTTTTTGGATGGGCAAATAAAATATCATATCACATGGGTGGCAGAAAAGATTTTGTGTCTAGGCTAGTAAAATTTCATGAGAGCTCTGGCTAAACTATGTTAGCTTGGCAGGGCCAGGCTACCTTTGAAGTGTTGTCTTGAGAATGCACAGCTCTAGGAAGCACCTCCCTGATTTTTCTCATTTCATATCCGCCCAGACAGCAATAATTTCTAGGTAATATTGTCAAATGCTTTTATTCCCCAAGGTCCTATTAGTGTCTCATGATTGACTTATTTTTCAGTAGATTTTAGCCATTATGCCTAGGATCGGTTGTCTAATTTATAACTACCTGGCTTGCTTTATGTGCTGGAATTGGGGTGGGGTGCAATCTTTTGGCCCTCTCTGTTCTGGTTCCAGCTTTGTACTGGCTGCAGTTCGGTCGTTGCCAGCTGGCAACAAATTGTCAGCTTGAAAACTGTCAGAAATGAAACGTCTAAAATGCTAGTGACAAAACCAGAGAGGCTGCAGCTTTTATTGCTGTAGCAGGAAGGCCCGGCAATGGGCAGCCTTGACTGTCTGTGATTTCCATTCTCATAGCACGGGCACATCTCTCTCCATTAGGACTCTACAGGCTGACTCCGGAGGACTGGTACAGAGAGGCCAGATGAAGTGTTGTTCACTCTCAGGGCACACCCTCCAGAGCTGTCTGAAAGTCCTGACATGGTTAAACGTGGCTTTTTTTTTTTTAAGATTGAAACTGAAGTTGCAGGGCCCTAGATAAATACAGAGGGGAGATGTCTGGAATTCCCCAAATAAGCACCACTTCTTCCCCCGTGTACCACCATGCCTGCTGTAGCACGTGTCCTGGCTCTATAACCAAAGAGGCTGGATCAGGGATCGACCTATCTTGCTTGAAATCGAAACTCCTTGAAATCACAGCTTCAGATCCTGGATGGGTTAGCTTGGTCCATCTACCTTGTGAGGGGGATAAGTTAATGTGGGTTGGGAAGAGGGAGAGTCTCTTAAACAGGATCTTGCAAGCAGACCTCTTGTCTGCACTGCAGGAATATTAAAAGTCCATGGCACTGGTTGTAAGAGGTATAACTTGGAGGCCAAAATCTGTCTGTTCTCACCTCCCAGAAAATTGCTGTGCCATGTGCTGTCCACTGGTTGGTGCCACCTTCCACAGATGGCTGTGTTTCTGCAGCGCTGTTTGACTCTAGCTTGTGAAGTACTTTGGGAGCATTCAGGCTCAAAGGCACTGTAACTGTAGGGGGTTATAAAACACCTAGGGATTTATTTCAGGTTTCAGAGTAGCAGCCGTGTTCGTCTGTATTCACAAAAAGAAAAGGAGGACTTGTGGCACCGTAGAGACTAACCAATTTATTTGAGCATTTATGGCTCTTGAGCAGGGTTTGGTGAGGTGCCAATGGCAGGCCCTTTGTGATGAGGATGGAAGAAATAGCTGTACTATAGTGGTGAATATCTGGAGATGTCTCTATCAGGCTCTGGTAGAGGTGTAAGGGAAAAGAGGGACAGGTGAAAAGCTGGTGCAAATTCTTTCAAATGCAAATTGGTCGATGCCATTGCAACACCCGGTTTGCAGGCGTTGTGGCCATCTTGCTCTGCAGTGGTGATCATGGCACATCCAAGAGGAGGTCACCTAAAAACTCCAGCTTCTTTTTGCCTTTCAGAACCATTCCTGAAGCAGCAAAGAGTTCCCCTTGCATGTCCACTCAGTTTATCCCTCTCCACTCTTAGAGATGTTAGCGTGATCGGTGTCTTCTCCTGCATTCAGACCCCACTCCTTGTTTGTTTGTTAATGTGACTTTGCTTGGCCTTCTAATATGTCTGTTCTACATGTTCATTATATTTGAACCCTCTGTCCAGTGCCTTGAGTGATGCTTTGGGAGTGGGAGGGTGAAGACTTCCTAAATATTTCAGGAGTCAAGGCTCTTTTGGTGAAGAAATAACCAGAGTTGGACAAGGCTTGGAGGTGCAGCTTTGGGGTGAACATCCTGGCTCTTGCCCTCCAGGTGGAAAATGCTGTTGTGGCAGATCATAGAATCATAGAATATAAGGGTTGGAAGGGACCCCAGAAGGTCATCTAGTCCAACCCCCTGCTCGAAGCAGGACCAATTCCCAGTTAAATCATCCCAGCCAGGGCTTTGTCAAGCCTGACCTTAAAAACCTCTAAGGAAGGAGATTCTACCACCTCCCTAGGTAACGCATTCCAGTGTTTCACCACCCTCTTAGTGAAAAAGTTTTTCCTAATATCCAATCTCAACCTCCCCCACTGCAGCTTGAGACCATTACTCCTCGTTCTGTCATCTGATACCATTGAGAACAATCTAGAGCCATCCTCTTTGGAACCCCCTTTCAGGTAGTTGAAAGCAGCTATCAAATCCCCCCTCATTCTTCTCTTCTGCCGGCTAAACAATCCCAGCTCCCTCAGCCTCTCCTCATAACTCATGTGTTCCAGACCCCTAATCATTTTTGTTGCCCTTCGCTGGACTCTCTCCAATTTATCCACATCCTTCTTGAAGTGTGGGGCCCAAAACTGGACACAGTACTCCAGATGAGGCCTCACCAATGTCGAATAGAGGGGAACGATCACGTCCCTCGATCTGCTCGCTATGCCCCTACTTATACATCCCAAAATGCCATTGGCCTTCTTGGCAACAAGGGCACACTGCTGACTCATATCCAGCTTCTCGTCCACTGTCACCCCTAGGTCCTTTTCCGCAGAACTGCTGCCTAGCCATTCGGTCCCTAGTCTGTAGCTGTGCATTGGGTTCTTCCATCCTAAGTGCAGGACCCTGCACTTATCCTTATTGAACCTCATCAGATTTCTTTTGGCCCAATCCTCCAATTTGTCTAGGTCCTTCTGTATCCTATCCCTCCCCTCCAGCGTATCTACCACTCCTCCCAGTTTAGTATCATCCGCAAATTTGCTGAGAGTGCAATCCACACCATCCTCCAGATCATTTATGAAGATATTGAACAAAACCAGCCCCAGGACCGACCCTTGGGGCACTCCACTTGATACCGGCTGCCAACTAGACATGGAGCCATTGATAACTACCCGTTGAGCCCGACAATCTAGCCAGCTTTCTACCCACCTTGTAGTGCATTCATCCAGCCCATACTTCCTTAACTTGCTGACAAGAATACTGTGGGAGACCGTGTCAAAAGCTTTGCTAAAGTCAAGAAACAAGATTTGCTAAAGTCAAGATTGGGGTGGGCAGAGCGATGCAGCAACTCTCCGGGCTCGAGCTGCAAACTGAAGGTTTTGTTGCCTTGCTGCAAAATGGAAGGCAAAGTAGAATAAGAGCATAATGCAAAACCATTTGCACCAGCCTTCTGTTCCCAATTGTGAAGTAGTGGGACAGCGAGCCTTCCAGCCTCCCTACCTGCTGTGTACACCTGGCCGTGTGTTCTACTGTAAGTTACTTCCCAGAGAATGGCCAGGATTTGAGTCACAACTTAGCAGCACGTCCTTCTCTCTATTAGCTTCCATATTTTTCCTTCCTAGCTTGTGTAGAGCTTGATTCAGCTGTTGAGAGTTTCAGATTACTGAACTTGTCAAGTATACTGCTCCGAGCCAGCCAAACAATCATTTCAATGTGAGATGTGGACATTCCTGTGAAAGGATCTTTCCCTGGGGATACATAACTCTTTGTTAATCAGTGAATGCTAGTTCCTTCCCTGCCTGCCTCACTGAAATCGATAACTAATTTTATTCACTTGGTTCCTATTCTTTGTGCTGCGGCTGCGTCCTAACAACTAGAGTCTTGGGTTTAAAGGCTCCGGCACTCGTGAAGAGCAGTATCTGCCTTTGCAACCGTGTTCAGATCATTGTCAGAAACAAGGAGCTGAGCTCTTTTATTCCCTGGGGAGAATCAGAGACAAGGACACAAGCATGAGCAGGTTTCTTACTGAACTCTGTTAAATCTGCCTTCAAGAGATCACTCAAGGGTGGGGAGATGAGGGAAATGGATTGTTGTAGAGCTTTCAGTGGGACAGAAGGGTACAAGTCTGCAATATGCTATTAAACAATTATTCATTTAAAGGAACTTACTGTTTTCCTATATGGGCAAGCAATATATAGCACATTGTGAATGCTACTGTCATCACAAGGATAAAGGATAGCAAGGAATCTGTAGCTTTGAGTCGTGTATGTTAGAATTCCACATTGGCTTGGACTAGGAGGAATGTTTCCCATTGAATTGGTATATACCCCCCCCCCCCCTTCAATCAATGTATGAAGTTCTCTGTGGCGTGAGGAAGGGCACAGCCTCTTGAACAAGTTGTTTTGGTCTTTATACGGTGGAATTTTAAGCTCTCTGAAGATGCTTGCTTTTAGATTTATGCTTTCACCTTTGTTTACCTTACAGATATTTGCTTCTGTGCATCATGCTGGGCTATTTTTGCCCTCTCTGCAATCTGCTTTCATCCCTTCGCCTCTCTTGCATCCCCTAGGATGTTTCAGAACTTCAGTTCCCCTTTCCTGACCTTAATCCCTCTGTCTGTAAGAGTGTTTGTATCAAACAGCAAGTTAAAGAGCAAGACTTGAAGAAAACAGGTTTAAAAATGAGTCTATTACAGATATGGAAAATTTGGTATAAAAAAAATCCATTACACAGACTGCATATTTGTATACAATGCTGTTCCAATGTGCAGTATGAATAGTCAACATATATAAGGCATTTCCCAGGAAACCTTTATCTCCTGTTCCGCATAAAACAGAAAATTTTAAATTAGGCTCAAGCTCTGTTTTTTTAAAGTGAATAAAAATAGATATATTAACTATAACCATCTTTTTCTACATATTCAAGCAATGGTGTGGCTGCCCTTTTTTAACCATCTTTTTCAAGACACTCTTAGGTAAGCAAATGGAATGTGCTGATTTTCAATGTGGAACTTTTAGGCAGTGCTTACAAAAAAATAACCCTACAAAAACACACCTGGAAATTCCTGGGTATGGCATCCCACCAGCGAGTGAGGGGTTTTGTACATTTCTAATTTCCCTTGGCACTTGAGGATTCTCTGGCTTCCCTTAGAGCTCTGCTCCCAGATGCATTCCTTTGAACTTTCATAGAATCATAGAATATCAGGGTTGGAAGGGACCTCAGGAGGTCATCTAGCCTAACCCCCTGCTGAAAGCAGGACCAATCCCCAATTTTTGCCCCAGTTCCCTAAATGGCCCCCTCAAGGATTGAACTCACAACCCTGGGTTTAGCAGGCCAATGCTCAAACCACTGAGCTATCCCTCCCCCGCACTGTAATTCAATACCGTAATGAAAGGAATAATGTGCTCCTTCTCTCCCACCCCACCCCTGACATGTGGGCAGCGCTGTAAACTTTACTAGGTGCCTCTTCTGGTGTATTTTGCCTTTCTCTAAAGCATCGAATACTGGTCAAAGCTAGTGGCAATACTGTGTTCTTCATGGACTAGCGGTCTGATCCAAGGTGAATAATCCTATGCTTGTAAATCATAAAGCAGAGTGTTAAATATTTCCCACATCTGGCTTCTCTTTAAGTAAAAACAGAAAGTTAAAAGCATCTGGAGGTGCAGGATCAAGCATCATAAAATAGAGATTCGATGGAGTAAAGCTTTTAAATATAACTTGAGTCCCAGTGACAACACAAACCACTCGAGATTGCTTCTCTTAGTGCATAATATTCTCCAGGATCCTTTGCTGTGTTAGAGCCACACATAATCTCTATTATTTGATCCCTTGTTTATTAGCACTTCCATTAACATGCCTTTTTCCAATTAAACATTAAAAGACCCTTCCCCTCCCCCCTCCCTTGTGTTTTGGACTACAGTGTCTATGTTAAAAAGCTTCTGGCTATGTTTGCTCCCTGTTCGCTCCTGGTCTAGCTGATAGTATGATGAGGTGGCACAAAATGGCCCTTCTGTGTTCCAAGAGGAACACTAGTAAAGTTGAAAATCAGTTCATTGCAACTCAGAGAGTTGCATCCCAGTCCCTCATGTGCTTTCTAGTATAGATCTCCTACCTCCACATAGCCTAGAGCAGATGGGACTTGAGGTCTTTCCCAGAAAGCACTCTTCCTGGGAGTATAGTCTTGCATGGGTGTTTTCCTGTGACTAGTGGCCAGAAGGTGGTGATGAGACTTCAGGAAAGAGCCGGTGCAACATGCAATTGCCTAAAGCTTCAACCTAGCTTTTTCTGTATGGGGAGAATGGGGCAATTAACATGCACTGGAGGAACATCTCATTGTGGCTATTTCTACGTTGTTTGAAGGGTCTGAAATAAAAGCCCCTTCCCTCTGTTTCTTGGGTCTTAATAGAAACTATCTTCCTTGGCAAGATTTGTATTCACCCTCAATGAATCTAAACGCTACAGAGATGGCAAAAAGGAGGGTAAAAGCTGCATTTGTCCTAAACTCTAACTGGTCAATCAATAAGGCACTGTAAGTCCCGGTACTAGTGTAACCACAACATATCCTTCCTGAAGATGCTGCTACTGCAGGATGTGCCTATTCTAACATAGCGTGAATCCTGCTGAGGAGAGAGTGCCTCAAGAGAACAGAACTGGGCTGAGCCATGGTAATGTTGGTGCCTTTCCTCTCCCCCATGTCTGCCTCAGAACTAATGTGTGATGCATAGTCAGAGTATATAGCCCTTGCATTCGCACACTTTCTAGATGAAGTAAACCATTTCAGTGGCTGGTTTTGAGATTCCAGGCTGTTTCCCCTCAGGGCAGCAGTGTCACCGTAGCTTTACAATTGAGTGTTGGTTCCCCCTAGGGTTTGAAATCCTCTGGCCGGATCTTCATCTCGACTCTTTTCAGGGAGTAGGTTGAGCCGTGCCAGCCATACCAGGTGATTCCATCCGTGTTTTTGGTATTTTCCCCTTTGCGGTAGTAAACCCCATTCAGGTTGGAGTCTGTGCAGCAGTTGTACCAGTATCCACCTTGCAGGAAACAAACAGAGAAAGCCTTTGTCCACCATTTAGTTCATGCTGGTATTCTGTGTTCATGATGTGAACAATTGTCCCTCTGCAGGGAAGGAGTGGGAGAGGGGCCAGGTGCGGAATTCATTCTGGGAGCCTGTGCCCTTGGCAGCTCTCATTACATTGGGAAAGGAGCTAAATTCAAGACACACTGACTGGTGAGCCCTTCTTTGAAGAATTCAGACATGCAGTGAACAGGGCAAATCACCAAGGTGATGTAGCCAAATAAGCCCAGTGTCTCTTTGTTAAAGTTCTTATCTGAGGCACTTGATGCACCTTTGAAAGTTTCCTCTCCATTTCTTCCCTCTCTCCCTTTTTGAAAACAAAAGGTCAGCAGAGGACACTGTTCAGTGTTCTTAGCTGGTTGGCTCTGGTATGCATCTGAATGCAATTTGTCTGAGGGTTTACTTTGCAACTGAGGCAACAGTAAAGTATAACAGCTGAATTCAGAAACGTTTCCCTTAGGGGCTATAATTGCTTCACCATACAGCCTACAGAGGTGAAGCTCATCCCTCTACATATTGGGGCTGTATTAAGACATTTAAAATAAAAGAGTGAGTTGCAGTGAGTTCAAAAGCACTCGGTTACCTTGGTGATGAGCACAATATAAAAAGCTGAATAGAATATTCCATCTAGAGACTCTCATTACAACATGAATGGAGTAGAGCTCAAGGTGCATGAACCTCCAGATAAAAATAATTCTACAAGTCACTGCAGCCCATATTTTAGATATAATCTTACATTTATTTAGTACCTTCCATCTGTAACTGAATATAAAAAATACACAGGGATAATTTCACCCACCTCTGGGATAGCCAAGCAGATAATTGATGCACAGTACACGTAACTGTGTAGGTAGATCAAGTATTGGCCAAAAACACCAGGGCAAACCCTGATTCCTGTGGAAAGTGCAATGGGACCACTAATGTCTATAACACACATTGTGGCTCTGAGTAGATCCCATTTCAATTCTCCAATTGGCCAGGTAACTGACATATGCATATTCCAGAAACAGTCATCAGTTCACTGATCTGCCATCAGAATGTTAACAACTTAAAACAATTGATTAGTCTCACTCTGTAACCATGACGCCATCCATATGTTGCATAGCGTGGTTCATTCAAACACTTGTAGAGGAGGAATCTGCGCCTTACCTTTACGGAACTTGGCACAGTGATCCACGCACTTGTCGTTGTCCTTGTCCTTGGTGCTGAAGGCTGTGTTGTTGTGGTACCTTAGGGAGTCGTGCCCTGTGTTGCCGGTGTAGTTCCCCAGGAAAAGGCGGTAGCTATTCAACTCATTGCTCAGGGTGAAGTGGTTATATTGTGCGTAGCGGATGTTGCCTTCCCAGTCCTGCCACAGGGGATTAGAGGGGTGAAGAGGAAACAGATTGTTTTTAAAAAAAGGGTGCTAGGCAGACTTTGGCAGCTGTGTTTACCTGGGATGCATGCCTCTTCTCCGGACAGGAATGTTAGCTGAGTTTTCAATGGTAATTTCTCTTTTAAAATGGAGACTACAGACTAGACTGCAGGAACTCGACTAAGGCAAACTGGAATAAACAAATTTTCACTTAGCATAGCAGGCTGGTGAATTACCAAGGCATCATGTTTGCTAGGTGGTCTGCATTGACATTAAGTTCTATATGCAGAAATCTGATACGCTTCCCTTCTATCCAACAGCCTTATCTTAAATGTGGGCTAACTCAAGTTGGTTTTTCCTCCCTCAGGGAGTGGAGTTTAGATTCTATGGAAGCCCCACAAACCACCGTTTTGTCAATTTACCCCATGCCCATCTCCCAAGGCCCTATACTTACAGCTGCCATTCTTCCAGCCATGACCTGGCCTGATTACTAACTCACCAGCCATTAATAGACAGGAGAAGTTGCTGTTGGTTAATGCAAAGCACTCCTTCCTCCCCATGTGCCGTCTCAGGAGCACTCCTGCCCAAAGGAGTGAGCTTGAGTCCCTCCAATCTGTAGTTGGACATCCCTATAAAATGGTCAGCAGCATAATCCCTGTGCCCTGGGCTATGACCCTTGTTCACCTCAGTGATGGGCAAAATTCATCTGAGAATCCTTTAGAGTCTGTGGCTCACCCAAGATCCAATCTGTAGCCCCATGAAGGTTCTATTACACCAATAGTAAACACTGGGGAATATGCTTCTGTTGTGTCGGGTCTCTCTCGCATTAGTCTCTCTAATCTAAATATGCGAATCCTATAGCCCTCCATTGCTGTTAGGAGATTGCACTTTCTATCAAAGAACCACTGTGCACTAGAAGCTTTTACTGCTGGAAGTGAGAACCTGTGAATTACCTCCAGCTCTACTCGCAGCATGGTCGGGCGTCTGGAGAGCCGATAGATATTTTCATTCCCTAGCCAGAAATCTCCCCGGATGTTGCCAAATCCTTCCTTGTATTGTTTCCAATCTCTGTTGAAAGAGATCAGGCCAACTTTGCGCCTCTGGATGATGGTCCAGCCACCACCGTCTGTCTCCATGTCGCAGTGCACCTGGAGCAAGAGAGGATGCAGTGCTAACCAGTCACAAGGGTTACAGGGTCCCACTTCCAATTTCACTGTATACAAGATCACGAAGCGGGGCAGGACACTCTCTGCACCAAACCCCATCTGTCAAGGGAGTTTGTTGGCCTATTCAAAGAGGCCCGAAAAACTGATTTGCTCTGAACCTTTCTCTCTAATATACCCTCTCCATCCCTACAATATAAGATCCTGTAGGGACTTTAAATGTAATATGCCATCTCCCTCCCTCCAACACTATAAAAACTGGACTTCAGTATAAGTGTTTTCAGAATGTACAGTATTGAAGAAGCTCTGTTAGAACCAAAGGCGTGCACTTTGTATGCATGGCATCCTCACCTCTAGGTCGGGGCTCCCCAAGAATTCATCAGGTGGCAGCTTGTAAACCCCGGAGATTCTGTAATTCTTCTTGTAAAGAGATGAGCAGTCATAGACAGCATCTGCTTGAATCAAACACAGGAAGTAAGATGCTGAACAGGAGAAGGACCATCTACTGCGGATGTGTGTCCTCAAAGGCTTTAACGCAGTTCTTGAGATAAACATTCAAAGGGGCCATTTTGTTGCATCTCCAGTGAATTGCGAAAGAGTGGAGAAGAATCTGCCTGGGGTGTGATGTGTGCATGGAACAGCTCAGCTCACCTATCGATGAGCTGTATGGCCTCAGTATTGGTGCTGGTCAGGTTTGCATGTGAGACAGAGAGGTGGCAGCGTTGGGACGTGAGGTGCTTTCTGTGGGATTGCTAAGCCTTTTGTCTTCAGCCCCCAAACAGAAAATACTCCTCATAGGAACTCGAAAGCCCATGAAATGAGACTGCACTTGTTAAAAATGAGAGAGATGGTCAGGCTGGTGTTGGATGGGTGGTTATGAGGCCTTGAAGCAAATTGCAAAGCCCCATGTATAGGGCTAGGTACGGTATTAATTCTAGCACACCGGAAAGAATGCTGAATGTAATTTAGTCATCTCTGTCTTGGTTATAAAATATACAAGGAAGTGGCTTTGTGCTTGGCTCTGGGGGGCAGCGGTCACACTTTACAGCTTGCAGTCTTGCCTTTTTCTTCTCCCAACCATCAGGCAGTGGGGGTACTTTGAAAGCAGCACTTCTGAGAGGGAGGAAGTGTCAGGCGCTCAATAGCGACCCCTCTGGCCTGCTCCGAAGTGAATCGGGGGGGCTCCTTGTGCCTGAAGCCCTTGTGTGGTGGCCACAGCCTCGGGGCCCAGATGATGGTAGGGTGAGGGAGACTAAAATGGGGAGCTCTGAAAAGCTCTATTATGGATCTGGGGAGGAAAGAGCTAAGCGTAAAGGACAGAGATGCTGTGCTGTACAGGAAACTAATGGCTTGTATGTGTAACTAGCAGAATCAAAACAGTATCCATTGCCTGTTACCTTCATAGTCTCCTAACCTCTTACTGTAGTACACAGAGCTCCAGCCTTCACAGCCATTTCTATTTTCCATTAAAATTACCAGTGTGTGAATAAAAGTTCCATGCTGGGGAATGAGCGTGTACATTCGTTGCCCCTTCATACACAGGTCCCTATCTGACAGAATGGCCAGGCCAGCTGCCTGCTCTGACCATGTGATGGGGCAGATTAGCTAAGTTTGTGAATAAAACACATTGCACAATAGTTTCTGTATCACGGTTTGCGATGGGGGCGGAGGGGTGGCATTTAGCTCAATTGAATCTCAGTCTTGCCAGCCCCCCTTCCTCTCTGGATAGGAGCTGATTGAGGGCAGGTGGTGTACACAGCTGCTTTTATGGGAGGGGAGAGAAGCTAGCCGGGGTAAGGATTTTTATCCCTCCTGACAGTTTTTTCAGTATATTGCAGGGTGAATGACTTTCACCTGGTGACATGAATTCCCTGCATCTGGCTGCTCAAGTCCCTACTTGGCTGGCTTTCTCTGTGTGCTGCTTTATTTTACAGAATCACATTGCGGCGTTACTATACCCCTGATGAGACTCATTACGGTAAAACCTTTCCGTTTATTTAAGACAATATAAATAGTGAGCAGTGTTTCCAAACGAACGACGTTAAACCTTTTCCTTAAGCAGAACTTAGTAAACACTAATGGTTTAAGATTTTTTTTTTTTCCCGTTGCAAAACAGACCCAGAATGAAAGTGTTTAGCACATACGATCACCCCAGGCAATAGCCGTCTTTATAGGGAAGTTTAGCCTTGTTGGAATGGTCTCCCTTTGGAGTAGACTTTCCTCAGGATATCCAAAGCAAATGTGCTGTGAAACTTTCCTGCGTCGCTATACCAGGGAAGGAGGGAAAATTTTAAGCCATTGAAATGTGTTATATCGGGGATTTTGCATAATCTACAACCTTGGATTTCTGAGAATTATTATTCAAAAGATGTCTTTTTTTTTTTATTTGCTTCCGGCTCAGACAGGCGTAAAGATGGTATTGCATCTGCAGGGGTGGTTAAAAGTGTCTCCAGTTGTTTAACTAACCCCTAATCCCCTACCAGTGTTCTGGATGACATGGGCATATTATTGCCAGAGGCTTTCCCACACAAACTGACTGCCTGCCTGTTCAGATTGGGACTGGCGGGAGAGATGTATTAAATGAGTCCATCCCGCTGCAATTGCAGGATCTGTTCTGCTCCCCCAACCCTTGACAGAGAGCAGATCTGATATCAAACTGATAACTGGATCTGTGGATTTCTGGCCAAATAAACCTGGCATCTTTTTGCGCTGCTGTGTCTGCAGAAGCGCACTGGGTAGATTGGCAGTCAGTAGGCACAGTCGCCAGCTGTGTTAATGGGACATGCTAACATAGGTTAAAAGTTGGTGGTTAGTTGGAGCTCTGCATTAAGAGGCGCATCTGGGAGCTTAGAGGCTCCATCCTTACCAGCTGAGGTTTGTGTGACCATCTGGGCTGCCTGCAGCTGCATGATGTCTATCTGGCTGTTAATTTCGGAGTACTTGCTCTCGGCATCAATAAGCCGGGTCTCCATCTGCTTGGTGCTCCCTTCCAGCTTCATTACCTGCATAACCACATTCACCCAGTCGTCTTCCTGCTTCTTGCTCAGCGCCCCCAGCATGGTGCTCAGATTGGCTATCTGCAGCTTGAGCTCTTTCATCTCATTGCAGCAGCCCATCATTTTGAGCTGGGTGTTCCCGTTGGTCGTTTTCCTCTTGGGAGGCTTCTGCAGCCACGCTGGGTAGATGGCCAAGGACAAGGTGATAACACAGAGCCATGCCAGTTGCATAGTGACTTTCACTGGCATTTTCCCTCTCTGCAGTGAGAATTCTGGAGTTCTCTGACTGAGTCCACTGCAGAGGCTGTGAGCGCAGCAGGGACACAGAAAGTGCTGCAGCACGCTGGTGCCCTAACTCTGTTTCTCTCCCCGTCTCTCTCAGTGAAGGTGGAGTCTAAAGGGGACTTCTGCAGCCCTTTCCTGTAGGAGTCTCTGCACTCTGGAAGTCTCTATCTCTCAGCATCTTAAATATCTTTTCTCCTGTGTACCTCCACCCCCCTGCAGCCGTACACAGCATTCTAGCCCCTCCCAGCTAATCTGTTCATATCAAGTGCCTACCGGCTGAAATCAACACAGACTTAGGCCAAAAAAGAGGTTGGGGGGAGACTTCCCTCCACTCACCTCTGCCCTGTGGGGTGAGAGGGCTAGGAATTCATGGGAGTTTCCATTTGGGTTTTAGCCCTTTCGGTGACTAAGTCTGGCATGTCAGAGAACATAACAGCCTTGGAGGTCCAGGACATGAGAGGGCTTTCTAGCAGGTATGATTTTGTAGCAGTTTGAACAAGGTGACTCTCGTGGGGAATGCTCCTAGTTTGACAGTCATATTTAAAGTATTCCACATGAGCTGTATCTCTTGGGTGCGTTTCCATTTTGGTTTGGTGCAGAGACCATTTTAGCCATTTTATCCCGTAAACAGCTAATCCTCCTCTCTCCAGAGGATCTGTCATTCCTGGATTATGTGTCTTGTAGGATTTGGAACTGTTCACTTTAGAGAGGAGATGACTAAGAGGGTGTATAGAATGATAACTGTATAGAGCAGGAAAATCATGTGCCTCTTTTTACCCTTTCTCATAATACAAGAACATGGGACATTCTGAGACATTGAAAAGCAGCAAATATAACAATGACAAAAGGAATTCCTTTTTTACCCAACATATGATTAACCCAGTGAGCTGATATTGAGGCCAGAATTCGATCAGGTTTTTGAAAAAGAATTAGACATTTATGTGGAGAAGTAGAGCATCCAAAGTTTTATATATAATATAGGATTAAAAATAATCGTATTAAACCCTCATAGTTCAGGATGTAAACCACGCATTAGCTGTTGGAATTAGGGAGAAACTTTCCCTACGACAGATTATTCCATAATTGTCGTCAACAAGGATTGTTACTCCTTCCTCTGAAGCATGTGTCCTGGCTGCTGTCGGAGGCAGGATAACGGAATAGATGGAGCACGCGGTTGATTCAGTCTGGCTGCTCCAATGGATGCCTGTTTTTTAAAAATATCAATCAATCATAGAATCATAGAATATCAGGGTTGGAAGGGACCTCAAGAGGTCATCTAGTCCAACCCCCTGCTCAAAAGCAGGACCCATCCCCAATTAAATCATCCCAGCCAGGGCTTTGTCAAGCCTGACCTTAAAAACTTCTAAGGAAGGAGATTCCACCACCTCCCTAGGCAACGCATTCCAGTGTTTCACCACCCTCCTAGTGAAAAAGTTTTCCTAATATCCAACCTAAACCTCCCCCACTGTAACTTGAGACCATTACTCCTTGTCCTGTCCTCTTCCACCACTGAGAATAGTCTAGAACCATCCTCTCTGGAACCACCTCTCAGGTAGTTGAAAGCAGCTATCAAATCCCCCCTCATTCTTCTCTTCCGCAGACTAAACAATCCCAGTTCCCTCAGCCTCTCCTCATAAGTCATGTGTTCCAGACCCCTAATCATTTTTGTTGCCCTTTGCTGGACTCTTTCCAATTTATCCACATCCTTCTTGTAGTGTGGGGCCCAAAACTGGACACAGTACTCCAGATGAGGCCTCACCAATGTCAAATAGAGGGGGACGATCACATCCCTCAATCTGCTCGCTATGCCCCTACTTATACATCCCAAAATGCCATTGGCCTTCTTGGCAACAAGGGCACACTGCTGACCCATATCCAGCGTCTCGTCCACTGTCACCCCTAGGTCCTTTTCCGCAGAACTGCTGCCTAGCCATTCGGTCCCTAGTCTGTAGCTGTGCATTGGGTTCTTCCGTCCTAAGTGCAGGACCCTGCACTTATCCTTATTGAACCTCATCAGATTTCTTTTGGCCCAATCCTCCAATTTGTCTAGGTCCCTCTGTATCCTATCCCTGCCCTCCAGCGTATCTACCACTCCTCCCAGTTTAGTATCATCCGCAAATTTGCTGAGAGTGCAATCCACACCATCCTCCAGATCATTTATGAAGATATTGAACAAAACCAGCCTCAGGACCGACCCCTGGGGCACTCCACTTGACACCGGCTGCCAACTAGACATGGAGCCATTGATCACTACCCGTTGAGCCCGACAATCTAGCCAACTTTCTACCCACCTTATAGTGCATTCATCCAGCCCGTACTTCTTTAACTTGCTGACAAGAATACTGTGGGAGACGGTGTCAAAAGCTTTGCTAAAGTCAAGATACAATACATCCACTGCTTTCCCTTCATCCACAGAACCAGTAATCTCATCATAGAAGGCGATTAGATTAGTCTCGCTTTTGCTTGGTAGGAAGAAAGTGTGAAAGACACAATTGAGCCATCTTGTCCCACGTGGAAGACACTCACTGTTAGTCTCTAAGGTGCCACAAGTACTCCTTTTCTTTTTACGGAAACAGACTAACACAGCTGCTACTCTGAAACCTGTCACTGGTCTAAGAAAGAGCTAGGATACATGGTGATAAAGCAATTATCCTAAGTAAAACCTTACTAGTCCCTGATGCATCTTGGACCTATGGAAACGTAACTTGCTCCAGCACTCAGCTTTTACTTCTCAGCCTTGTTAAACTTACTGCTAGAGGTTTTGTTTGTAGGGATGGATGAACGTCCCAGCCAGCTAGTAACTTTTCAGCAAAGCAGCAATGGTGTCCTGGCAGAGCTCAGAAAGTGGGAAGATGAAAGCATCAGAGCGTTTGCAGAGATGAAGCATGGTGACACATTGCTGCAGACACCCGAGAGCAGGGGTAAAGATCTCTGAGCAAGTAGCATGGGTATCTTGGTGGCTGACCCCTCTTGTGTGCTGTGCTCAGGGCACACCCCTGCCATCTGAGGCATCAGCAGGCAAGGCTCCCACATGTTTCCAGTGACCTGAGATGACACCAGACTCTGTCAGTTGGGAGTGACAGGTATTTTTCTTTGAAAGTACAGCGGCTCCCTCTCCTCATGAGTGTGTTGGCTGTTGCTTGTTTTCTGTTGCTGGCATTTCAAGAGCCTTCCATAGCAAAATTGTGTTGTATACCACAAACAAGCATGTGCCCCACATGCAGACCAAAAGCCTGACTTTTTTGTTCTGCATGTAATCCTGTCTGAGCCCTCTTCTAGCCAGAGCTTCTGTCTTTCCCTGGGGGCAAATTCTTGTCAGGCTGTGTGTGATGAGAAACATTTTTGTCAGAAGCAGAGACCAATAGTGGAGTAAGCTGGGTTCTTGTTTCTCTCTCTCTCCCTCCACACACACAAAAAAAAAAGCACACTCCCACTTGTGTCCCTGCTGTGGTCAAACCCTTGGCGTTCTTTTGGAATTCTAACAGCCTTTTATTTTTTCTAAGCAGTTTTGAAAGCTGATCGGGGTGGTCAGTCCGAAAATAGAAGTGAGGCCTGTCAATGATGTGCTACCCTCTGACAAAGGGACATGGCCCACCTTTGTTGCTGTTCTGCCTCCCTGAAGTTCATTTTCATTTTCAAATGCTCTTAGCTCCTGACTACATCTTTATGGCCACCACAGTATATGTATCTCAAAAACTGGGGACAGGGTATAGGCAGTGGAGGGGCACTTGCAGTCCCCAAGGGACACTGAAATACATCCTCCTGCTTTCAGCATTGAAGTAATAAAAGGACCCAATGTTCGGACAAATTCTTGCCTTCAGTCAGGAGTTCTAATACAGAGGAGAAACTGATCCAGTGTGAAGGCATTAGACTAGAAGACAGGAGACCTAGGTTTTATTTCTGGTCCTGCCCCAGAGCTCTCCCCTCTGTGGCAAGTTACTTCATCACTCTTTTGACTCCGTTTCCCTGTCTTTAAATGGGGGTGATACTGCGTTTGCTAAAGCACTTTGGTGTCTATGCTGTACAGGAGCTAATAAGGAACAAGTCTTGGTAGACAAGAACAGAGAAGAAGGCAATCCTAGGAAAATTGCCTTCATTACATCTGAGGGAGATTTAGACAGGAGTTGTGAGCTTTTAGGGGAGAAGCTCAGTTCTTAACTTTACTTGGGCTTGCTTTCTTAGTAAATATTTGAAAGACGAGTTTGAAAAACTGAGTAGCAATCTCTAAAGCAGCGGCAGCTGCTGCTGCTCAGTGCCAAGGGGGTATCCTGTATATTAGAGGCTGGTACCACTATCACTTATTGGAGAATCCCATAAAGAGGAGACGGTCTGTATATTGGAAGTGTGGAGTGTACTGGGTACAACTCATGAATGAGGGGAGCTCTTCTCCAAACTCCTGGGCAGTTTCCAGGTTTATTTTCTTTGTTCTGTTGCATTCTTTTCTCTTTTCCAAAATGAAAAGATTTCACACTGGAATTGAGAATCTGTTTGTCTAAAACTGTGGGTTTTCCCCCTTTTTTCCTCCTCTTAGCAGAACGGGTCATAAAAGAACACTCCTAGCAGGATTCCTTTTCACTGCAAATGTTGGTTTGTAGAGAAGCCCTTGTGTATGGCCCTTTAATTGGTTAGATTACGGAAGGAGATAATGCACAAGTCCCATAACAGAATCAGCCATTGATTGAATGTACTTTGAATGAAAGAAAAGCACAAGTCAGGCATGTAGATCTGTGTGCTTGAGAGGTGGGGCTTTTGGCAAATGTCTGGAGATGCAGTGAGCCTACTATGAGAATAACCAGGATCTTGAGAACTAAACTCCCAGCTGATGGCCCCATCTCAGGAGAGTTCTACCTGGCAGTGCTTTGTGGTTAGGAATAACAGGATCGCTGTGTATTTTTTTCTCCTAAAAATATTTAGCTTCCACTATGGGAAAGTGAGGTCTTGGGCATGTTTCACTGGTGCTGCAGTGCAGTTAATAATTAGAGCATGTGACACAGGCTCAGAGCTGAGAGAGGGATATATGGGTTCTTCTCAGACATACAACTTTTCTGAGGGTGGTCTTGATGCAAACTGTGTGTATTCATCCCCTTCTTGTGCAGAAATGTTAATTTTCCCATCACTGGCTTTTTCTGCTTTCTTGACTTTTCGTGTTCTTAGTGCCTTATCACCTGGAGATTAAAGAGCCATGAAAGGAAGAAAATTACTTCAGAATTTCTGCAGAGATCTGAACAGATGGGCAAAAAAGCATTTGGCTTTTAGCATGTGTCAGGCTTTGATCTTGCTTTCCCTGAATTCTTACCTAGGACCAGAACACCTGTGATCACTGTGATCAGAAATGTTCTAGCTACAGCTGTGCTTAAA